GAGGGTGTTGATTACTTCTTCATCGCGTACGCCACGAGGTCTGTATCTGCGCCTGCCCTCCTGAATGGCGCGTTCTAGCTTGGCTCGGTTCGCAATGAACTTTAGTTTTGGAAACGCAGATTGCTGGCCAACATGAATCATGCGTGCTAGTCTTTGTGGGGTAGGGTCAGATAAGATATGAATGAAGTCCGAAGGGATGGACTTGGGCCAAATGGTGATGGTTCCGCTAAAGCGTTGCAGCCAGAGCTCGCTCCAATCCTGACCAAGGGGTCTCGGCAATAGTTCGAGGTGACGGAGAACCTTGAGCCATTTGTAAAGATCAAGTTTGAGATACTACGAATATAGTTAGAGGAGGACTAAGTAAAGGTTTCGTGGTATTGAAGAGGTAGTTGGTTGAGTGCTGGGATGTTCGTTACGTACCTGCTCCGTAGCTGAACCGAGAAAGCCACCTCTCCAACCGCGCCCGCGTCGGTGAGTGACAGGTTGACCAACTGATCCACGCGACGAAAAGAAAAAGATATTAATGTGCGGATTAACCTGACTAACGATCGAGAAGCGCACATTGAAATGAAGATTCAGTGCCTTGAGTGGGATGTCCGTCCTACAGACCGCGTGAGTCGTCACAAGGTGGCAATTATGCGGATTCAATGACTTACCTTAGACTTCCATCTTTCCACTTGTGACCGAAAGAGAAGGGCGAAAGACTTCCATCCTTATTCTTCTTCATGAGTACAACTGGGTTGAGGATTCCAGGAACAGCAGCCGAAGCTAAAACCGCCGACCAAATGACACAGTCAGGGGCAGTGATGTAGTTTGCTAGAATAGTTGGTGAGTGCGGATCAGCTGGCACGCAGGAGACATTGAGTATGCGGCCGGTTCTTTGGTATGCTTCTTTGAATGTCAGGCTGCCATGTGTCATCCAAGCACACCTCCGGGCCCAATCCACACTGTCGAACCTAGCACCAGTCTTCCACCATCTTTTTGACCATGTGAGAATTCCTTCATGGCAGGCGGTGATGCGGTGGGCAAGCGCTGGTACAAGCAAACTCTTGAGTTCTTCATCGGTCCTTGTGCACAGCAGCGCAGCAACAAGGGCGCCACCTGAAGTGCCAGTGATGACTTCGGGTAGTAACTCAGCGTCCATCAGAGCTTTAGCCACACCAAAGTGGTAGTAGGCAAAAGTGGCTCCTCCTGATAGACATAGTGCAGTGCGACCAAAGTTACTGCCCAAGTGCTTGAAGAGGGCGCGCTTGTTGTCAGCGTCGAGCTGCGTGGTCCGCAAGAGAAATGACAGGGAGGCCTCGGCTTCGTCCACGAAGTTTTGAACAAGAGTTTTGGTTCCGTAGTATGTTTCGCTGTACAGCCGAGGGTTCTCAAATCCGACGAAGTTGTTCTTCATGGAGGCTACGTAAGACGTTAGCCGATTGTTCTCGTATACAGGAGTATGGTATATTCTTACCCTCCAGCAGCGCACGAAGGTCCTCGACAGCCGTGTGAGGGCCTGTGGTGTGTTTGGAGCCTGAAGCACTGTTCTCATCAGCCTCTGCCTTTTCCCGCAGCTTGACCATCTGCTGGTGTACCCTCGCGATGGTCTTGCTGTCATAGTAAGCGTATTCGGCCTTCTCTTTCCACGCATCGTTGCCAAGATAGGTGTCTATTTCCTTTGCGCCCTGTATCCATTCCTCATATGATCTCGCATCCTGAAGGCGTTGGCGCAGCCTCTGGCGTGTTCCGCGCCATGTGACCCAGTGCTCATATAGATAAATGTACAAGCGCGTGAAGACGTAGCCGATACTCAGGAAGAGCAGCCATCCGAGCACGACAATCAGCAGCGGCCACTTGAGCAGTATGTAGACGAAACCCTCGCGCGTCTCGTCCTTGCCGCGACGTGGGGGGGCCTTTGTCTTCTTGCGCCGCTTGACGCGCTGGTGGACGGGGCGCCAGTCATTTTGGGCAGTGATGAAGGCACGTTCGGGCGGAGGCGAAGTGAGGTCCTCGGTCGATGGCGAATTCTCTGGCGCAGCGAGCGCTTTGGCGAATTCAATAAAATGGTCTTCTTCGACAAAGTCGTTATCGTAGTCGGGCAAGAGGGTGAAGTCGAAGCCGGCGGCCGAGTATGGCTCCGGGCCGTCTGTCTTCTTATCGATGTCAGCCATGTGTTTGGGAGTGACGAGACGTATATTTCATCGCAGAATACAAAGGAACATATCACGTCAGATGATATGGACTCAGGGTGTTGAGAGCGGCATGTGAGGCTCGAAGCTTCGGGGGTTTACGTCACAGGGCCTGCCGAGGCCTGGGCCCTGCGCCCCGGAACCCTTCCGACGTTCATGCACAGAAATCCTCCTTGCTCGCTACTCGCTATTCCAATTGCTGTACCTGCACCCGCACCCGTACCCGTACCACTCCACACTCGCCCAAATCACAGAGCTAATGCGGCCTCGTTCCCATGGGCTCCAGGCCGCGATCTGCTCAACAACTCATCGCCTACGCCAATGGCCATCGCAAAGATGCCTCATGACCCTTGCCATTGAGACATCATGCGATGATACTTCGGTGGCTATAATTGAAAAAGGAAACCACCATGGCCACGTGACAGCAAAACTGCATTTCCACGATAAAGTCACGTCCAACAACTCAGTATACCAAGGCGTGCATCCCCTCATATCGCTTCAATCTCACCAGGAGAGCCTTGCGACACTTGTGCATGAAGCCATGCGCCATCTCCCAATGCGCAATGGGTCTGTTCTTCCGAATGCAGGGTCGACGCAGTCAGGCCAAGTAGACGTTGCAACAAGAAGACTGCCCGACTTCATCTCCGTTACACGTGGGCCTGGTATGCGTAGTAATCTGTTCACGGGCCTCGACACCGCAAAGGGCCTTGCTGTAGCATGGCAGGTACTGCACGCTGGTCTCCTCATGAACCTGCCACTGACACCTACCCCAGAAACCTCTCGTTGGTGTTCACCACATGCAAGCACATGCTCTCACGCCGCGAATGGTGAGCGCTCTTGAATCCTGTGCCCATCCATCGCCTGAGCCTGCGCCCAAGTTTCCGTTCCTGTCAGTGCTAGCATCTGGTGGCCACACGTTACTCATCCACTCTGCTTCTTTGACACACCACCATGTATTGGGGTCGACAAATGACATTGCTATTGGAGAATGCTTGGACAAGATTGCTCGTGTCGTCTTGCCTGCACAGTTGCTGCAAACAACCAAGAGCACCATGTATGGAGCACTCCTTGAAGCATTTGCATTTCCTAATTCAGGTCTGGAAGGCCAAACAACTTTGACCTCACCATCTGCGCAGTCCATACACTCCGCTGAAAGTTATTTGAGTACGCATGGTCATCGGTATGAATGGTATACAGTCCCGACAAATCACGAAGATGCAATCCGGAGAAACACTACTAAATGGGGTTGGGCTCTCAACAAGCCACTGACTAAATCCGGTGGGGGCGTCAAGATTAATAGCCTTGAGATGAGCTTTTCAGGCATTACCACAATGGTCGAGCGCATCGTACGATATGGCATGGACCCTAATACGAGGAAATTCAACAAGGTTGAGCGAGCAGCTACTGAGGTTGAAATCGAAGAGAGAATAGATCTGGCAAGAGAAACTATGCGCGCAGTTTTCGAGCACTTAGCTTCACGAGTGGTGTTAGGCCTGCAATCCCAGCGAGATGTCACCACATCAAAGCCTGCCCTCGTCATGGCTGGAGGTGTCGCTGCGAACTCCCTTCTTCGACACATGTGCGTCCACTCAACTCCTAGGACTTGCGCCCGCTGTCATTCGGCTTTAGAAACTGATCAAGCTAACCTGTTATCAGACTTGCATGTACCCTTTGTGCTCACGGATTTCCAGATGTTGAGCTGTACTTTCCTCCTCCCAAATTTTGCACCGACAATGCTGCCATGATTGGATGGGCCGGGCTCGAGATGTTCGAAGCGGGATACATCGACCCACTAAGCATTCGCGCCATACGAAAATGGCCACTGGACAAACTTCTAGATCCCCCAGAAGACGGATGACGGCCAAGCACGTCCTATATGCAACAGGGCTCTCTTCCTCCCTTGGCTCCCGGGACTACACCACCTATATCCGCCTTCCCGGGTATTCCATAGTGAAAACAAACAACCAGTCAATAGTCAGTTTGTCTGCAAGCAGGGTCAGTGTTACTGTCATGGTTCGGCATCTCGTGATTGCGAGAACAATCTGATTGCCATGAGCGCTCTCAGTTCGACGGCTGTTGCGCTCTTCATATTCCCTCCCGGCACGTCGCACAGTTACCAACATACATATACCGAGGTATGAGCTGTGGGAGTTCGCTACCGGGTTGTGATGTTCCCAATCGGGGCTATATAACCATGTCTTGGTCATATCAAACAAAACCAAGGGATTCTGGTAAGGTTGATTCTGGACCGAGGTCATGCAAGCGAAGTAGTTTCGTTGGTTGAGCGACACGATTGTTAAAGTTGGTTCATATATTATGCAAAGTCCTCACGAGAGAAACCCTGCATTCTCGGCTGTTTGCAACCATGGCACGATCACGCAAAATACCCAGCAATATAGCCAGACAAGATGCACTTTAATTTTCCCGACACCTTCCACATTTTGTAAATTCAACACACGCTACTGGACAGGGTTTGCCTAAAATTAGGTTTCTCCCAAGTGACACTGCAGGTAGACCCGGCGGTTATCACTGTATATTGCGCTGCGAGATCGAAGCACAACCTAAAGCCCAGAACATGGACTATCAAGCCTCGCTAATGCAGAGGCCTACGGTGTCACACAGATGCAACCGATGTTCACTAAGGATTCAGGGCGCGTGGTCTCGTATCTTTAATCTTGGCACTGTATCATTGCATGTTCTCCTAGATTGACCAGAATCGGTGACTGGAGAAACGTCTATAACTTTGCCACAAAGGTCGCAACGAAAGAGCAGAGTTACACCACGGAATTGTAAATTTGGTCTTGCACCATACATTCTCGAGCAAACATGGCTCCTGCACGCAACAGTGTGCTAGTGCTACTTGGCCTTGCAATCAGGTTTGTTATTCTGCCTGCGTCTATCTACAGATACCGACGTGTTTTAGTATCCGTGCTGCACCTGCTGGCTTTCAAGAGCGTCAAGTAGAGATAACTCCACCTCAGCAAAGCGTCTCATGGGATACTGGAAATCCGGAGCCCACTGAGGGCCCCTACGAGCCTGTCAATCCACCAAAGCCAACAGACCAGATCAGCCTTGGAAAACCGTCATTCTGGATTAGCTGGGAGACTAGTGAGCCTGAACCGACACCCGAACCTGAATACCCCCCGCCAAAACCGAGCGACCAAATCAGTATTGGTAATCCAACCTATAGCATCAGCTGGGATGGAGAAGGCCCGGGTGCATCCTCGACGCCCACTCCTGTGCCCACACCCACACCAAAACCAACTCCAGAGTACCCATCCGTTACATCGTCACCATCTGTCTCGATAAGCTCCAGAAAGTCGACTTCGTCCACAAAGGTTTCTTCGACCAGAAAGCCAGGATATCCTCCTTGGAACCCGTGGCCACCAAGACCAACGACTTTCAAATCCACAACGAGGCCCAAACCGTCGTCAACCCAGCCAACATCAACAAAGGAAGTACAAACCAGCTCACCGCCACCCCAGTATAGCATAAGCTGGAACATGGAGCAACGTGATGTTAAGCCTACGTCTACAAAGAAGCCAAAGCCTACCCCGACTCCTAAGCCTACGTCCAAGGTGACTCCCAAGCCAACGTCCAAGGTAACTCCTAAGCCTACATCCAAGTCCACACCCCCATCAACTTCAAAAGCCACACCTAAACCCACCCCAACATTCACTTCAAAAGCCACCCCTACTCCTACTCCTACCCCTACCCCCAAGCCTACACCAACCCCAGCCCCAGAACCCGACACCACCTCCTACGCTCCCCCCGACATCACCCTCGGCCCCCCCAGCTTCAGCATAAGCTGGGGAAAACGCTCACCAGAACCTACTTCTGCCCCCTTCCCCGAGGACGACTCCGAGGATCCCTTCCCCGAAGACGACCCCTTCCCAGAAGAAGAAGATCCAGACTTCCCCCCACCCACCATCCCCACCCCTCCTCCCAACGAAATCAGCATTCAACCCCCGACCGCAACCGTCATCTGGGGCAAACGTCAAGATGAGGATGAGGACGATGATTTCCCACCTCCATCTATCCCAAGTCAAGTTAATAGTGTGGGGGTCGAGCAACCTACTGCAACGGTGATTTGGGGGAAGAGACAAGATGGAGGTGAGGAGGATGATGATGATTTTCCGCCGCCGTCCATCCCGAGTCAGGTTAATAGTGTGGGGGTTGAACAACCCACTGCGACGGTGATTTGGGGGTGAGTGTGGTTGTGGTACGGAGGAAAGGGAAGGGAGATTGGGAAGGAGAGGGGGGAGGTTGTAGTCAATTTGCGTTATGAGGAATTTGGATTTGTTAGGAGATGTTCGTACTGTGATTTTTCTTATGTAAAGGTTTGGTAGAGAGTATGATGCCAATGTACTGTGTTGCCCATGCGATGTTTCTTGAGGCTACATGTGTGTGTGTGTGTGTGAATATTCCAGTGCATCGTTCTTACATTGAAGTGTATTAGCAACAAGCAGCTGGGGGTGGGGATACCTTGCTACCCTCGTCCCAGCGAAATCGCATAAAAAAATTCGCTATCAGCGTTGCTATATCCTCCTTTTGACTGCCCCGAAAGAAAAAAACCCGTTACAAACTCTGTGTTCATATCGACATGATATACTCGTGAGCGAACCCCTCTTCCTGAATACTGTTGGCAAACAAAGAAAAAGCGGGTGATGAGACTATCAACAGAAAGCTGTACACCCTACATCTTGGTTCGACTACGACCGGCGGCGCGAGTAATACGCAATGACATCGTTGCCCTGTCTGGCACCCTCGAGAAACGCGAGAGCAACGTCTTCGATGCGGTGACAGCGTGATCGAAGCGTCACTGCAAAGTTATGTGAGATGCTGTTCGCGTGTGCATCTCCCGTCTCGTCGTAGCGAAGTTGAAACGAATCTACCAAAGCGGCAATGAAACCTTGGATATGTACGAGACTAACGCGTTCACGATGCATGCCAAACGCTCGCGCAATGCCTGCCACCGCTTGTACAGTATGTGTGGTGATGGTATTGCGCTGTTCGCGCATGCGATCAGAAACGTGGCGTGTGCGTCTACGAGGTTGAAATGCGGATAGGTTTAGAAGCTGAGAGCAGATGGGATCACTTTGTGCCACGGTGTGAAGGTCGGCGATAGGGAAGTGATGTAGAATTGCTTCGGCGGGTACCGAAGCCCATACCATGCGTTCTGCGAGCTATTAGTAAATTGGATAAGGCAGCGAGCAGACTGACGGCTTACCTGCGTGGCCTTTATAGCGAGCCCACCATGCCTGGCCTTCGGACTTGAGCATTCGAAGGACGTCTGCTGCCGGCAATGTCTTATTTGGCGTTGTGAGTGAGAGATCATCCAATGCAACTGCCATTGCGTTAGGTAAAGTCAGTTTTGAATTTCTCGAAATAAAGCATATCACTCACCAATAGCTATGCACGGGTCATCCATAGTGCTTGCTTTGACCAAAGCCTGGAGTAAGCTTGTAGACAAGGAAACAAAAGTAGACGCCCCGCCCTTCAAACACAAATCTGTAAACCCATGGTTAATATAGATTCTAGGAAGACTTCTTTTCTTCTAGTTACTTACGCAGGTTGGTCAACAGCTTAAGTGCAGCCCTGCCCTCACCGTCCGGAGTGAATGGAGGAGGATGCTCACCGCGCCAGATGGAAAATGCCTGGCTGACGAATCCGTCTTCTTCACTGAATGGCGTGCGACTGTTCTTATCCCAGACGCGAAAGGCAATGTTTCGCTTGATAGGCTCTATAAGGGACCGCAATTTTTTCACTGAAGCCGCACGGGGGCTCGGGTTTTCAACATCAGACCACTTTTCCTCTTGATTGTCTGTGGACAATGCTACATTCCCAAGCAGACATTCTGACATCGATATTGCTTGCTGATCTGACGACAATACAACAGATTGAGTCAATCGAGAAATTCGACCCTTTTCTTTCTCCTTCTGCGCAGCGCGGCGAACCAGGGACCTATACAGTCTTCTGGTCCTTGGGGACTTCGCCCACCGCGCGGCGCCAGAATTGAACGCAATTTCTATTTCTCTGCGCTGTAAACTGACACCTAAGTCTATGGCAGTTTCTTCGATAATCCCACGGATAGCATTGTACCGCCCTTGTGGATCGTGAAATGGAATAGCCATTACCCGGGCGTACTCAGGAAAGGCGCGCCCGCCAAACAGCAACACGTGGCCCTCAAACTGATGCCGTACGACTGATACACGAAGATCAAGGCCTGTGACATGGTTGAAGACCCGGGGAAGAGTAGTCGGGTTGGAATCGTCGTACCACCTATACAGAATGGTCAACAGTTCCCGTTGATCCTCATCCCATGAATGTGATGGGGCTCTTTCAATCCTTCGGAGAGCTGCCAGAGATTGCAGATTACTTAAATCTCTTGAAGACGATACCGGTGTAACGCGATCGCTAGAGTCACTCATTGTGAGTGTGAGTTTGCGGGGTACTGATTGGGAACCTCTTGCAGTGTTACTTGACTTGGAGCGGCTGGTACCACCAGAATATAGAAGATTGCGACCAGTTCTGTTTGGTGCCATACGGCGAGGACAAGGTGTGGAATATGACTCGATGCTATTGGACGCGAAACTTGAAGAGCTTCCTTGACTGTTGGAAAGACCTATACCGTCTGGCTTGGGTGTATGGTTGTTTTCATGTAACCAGGAGGAGGCAGAAGAAGAACAATGCGATGCTTGCGTCGAGCCTTCTCTTTCTGAAGGCGAAGACGAGTCTGGAGATTCGAAAAACAAACTTCCTTTCCAGGGCTCAATGTCAAGCGAAGTTCCGAAAACATCCTCATACGGTGGAAGGGTCAACTCTCGTTGTGTATGGTCGCAGTTACTAGCTAGAAACCCTTGTGGATTGTTAGCACTTGTATCGTAGGAGAAAACAATCAGTAATGGTTATCTCTTGCCTTGTAAATCTTGTTCTGTGGCGGCAGGTGACTGCTCATGTTGAGGCTGCTCTTCCACTGCTTGAGTGATGATAACTTCCGATGTTGGCTCCCACATCATCATCCCGGCGTCGATTTCCCGCCATATGTGAGTTTTCATGATAAGGTTGCTCAAAATACACTTTTGAATTGCTTGTCAAATTTAAAGATGAAGCAAGACCTTTGGTGCTGCATACTGTTGGTAGTACAGTATACTAGCATACCAAGCCTTAAGTAAACGCGAAACGCCATCTGACGTATGACGGGCGCGTTTATCGTGTGGTGAAGTGAACAAGGCTCGTGCGTATGTGTCGTGATATCCGTGAGGCGACGAGAGCTGCAAGGACGAGTGCTGTAGGTGCAGGTGCTTACTCATTGCTGCCAAGATGGGAAGTGAAGAAGTTACGAGGCAAGTACCCTATGCTCTTACCCAGCAATCCACACGTGATTTCCTGTAGCTCTATCAGTCCAAACTACACGTGCATCCTCACCGCCTCATTCCAGTAACATGCTCAATCGGTAATAGTGAGAGTCAATGACTTGCCAACAAGGGTGACTCATCATGAAGCAAACAGCAAACAATTTTGAGCAGTATCATTCGTCTAGCCTAAAGTGATATACTAGGCACAGAATAATATTATACACGGGGCGTAGGTAATATACTATAGGCGTGGGTGAGAAAAACTGGACGTCTACAATAAACCAAACGTGTGCATAGTGGACAAAGAAAAGGAAACGATATTACCCTCCCACGCTACGTGACATTCGTTATCTGTAAAAGGAGTGATTTGGAAAAACCAAGGGAGAAAGTTGAGTTGGATGTATGAAGGTTGTGATCATAAGACTTTTCGGGGCATTAGATAGGATGATGAGGGCACAAGTAGGGTAACCCGTCTTTGCAAAAGGCCGTTGAGTTCGCAAAAAAAAAACAAGAAAACGAGATTTTTTCCCCTCGGTGATTGGAAAGCCGTAATCAAAGTAGGCGTGCACCCGATATGCGTACGCAACAGTGAAAGAAGTGAACAGTAAAGGTTGCCTGTGATACTCCTAGAGCATGCGAGAGAAGTTGATTTCGATACTGAATCGTAAAAGCGGGGTTCCTGGATTGACGGTACGGTGTGGTCGCATTTGCTTGTTTTGGGGTGAGTGTAGTGACGGGTTGCTGGGTATTGCATAAGCGCCCGAGCGCGGTGCTTTGGCTGCTGCGAACATGCATATGCGAGGTCCACGCACAGACGGCCCATGAACGGTTCGATAAGAGGACGCCATCTTACGCCGGAAGGCCCCCCACCAACAAAAACAACGACGCCTCGTGGAAGTGCACACGGGCTCGCTTATTTGTGACCGTGCTGCTCGGTGCAGATCTTCCTGACGACCCACTTCTCCCAGAACTTGCGTTGCTGGTTGGTGACCATGACACCATCGTCTCCTAACGTGTCTACACTGTCCATATGACCGTTGCAATTGCACCAGGTGACCGAGGCTGGGGTGTCTGGCATGGGTGGGAAGTGGAGAGTTCCGCCCTGCTCCGGTTCCGGCTCGTCGGTTTCAGTATCCGATTCTGTACCAGCTATCGAGCTATCGTCGTGATCGTGTCCATTAATGCTGTGATTGTCGAATGGCTCCTCTTGTTCCCCATCATATTCCCAGTCTTCGCTCTCGTCACTGCTGTCGCTTCCAACAAGAGGGTCGTCTGGCACTTCAGCCCCCAACACCCACTGCTCATCGAAATGTTGCTCGTAATCAATTCGTCTTAAGCTGACCCAGTCGAGCCTTGGGAGATCGTCCCGCAGACAAGGCAGGACATCTTTCCATCTACTGCCTTGCCTCAAAAGTACGTCTCGGAGCCGCAATCCGCGCAATGTCTCTCGATGTCTCTGTGCAAAGCCAATGATTTCTTCTGCGTCTAGCCGCCATGCCTGTATACCAAAAGCTTGTAACTTGTCCCACTTGACGTTATGGAAAAGTTCCTCTAGTTGGATGGAGAGTGGCCTGTACGATGGAAAGCCGATATGTAACGCCTCTATGTTCTTGGCTGCAGTGAATAGGGCCTTGGATAGGGAAGAGAGGTCTCGCATGCGCACATCAAGGTCGGTGCTATCATCAAAGTGTAACTCTAAGCAAGTCAGGCGACTGGCAAGGATACTCAATGTGGATGGTGGATTCTCAACGGCACTCGACACACTCTGTGGACTAAGCATGGGCGATGATATTCTTGAGCATGGAGATCCTGACTTGAGAAGGGCCTGACCTATTGTCTTTGCACTGTGCAGGCAGGCCGGAGGCCACCGTGGGACTAAATCGTTTAGTTCATGGCTCCGCATGTAATTAATAAGCTTCCCCTCTTCCTGGTCCTGGACGCGTAGAATCTGAATGTGCTGAAGGGAGGTGAATTGGCGAAGTGCTATGTGGAGAATGCGGGCATCTTCTCCAGTGCGGACAATTTCTCTCTGCTCGTTTGCCTTTGTCTGGAAGTGACGAACATCAAAGAGGGCGAAGCTGTTGGGCTGGGTATGGAGAAGTTCTTGTAACCGCTCCCGTCCTACAGCCGAGTTAGTGTTGGGTAGGTATATGGGATTTGAGGGAGGGTTGAGAGAAAAGGGTTAGTCGGACCTTCGTCATAGAAGAACGGGACCATGTAGCTGAATTTCTTGACACGGCGGGCAATGTGCGGCTGGCTGGCAATCTTCTCGAGCCGGTCGAGGCCTCTTTTGGAGAAACGGGTGGTGATACGTGAGAACTGATGGATGATGCCGAGGTCGGAAAACTTTCTGCAGGTCAGGCGAAAGGCGGCGATGGTCTGGGCCTGGTCGTGGTCTGGAGGCAGAGGCAGCTTGAAGCTCTCCTGGGAGAGATAGGCGCGGCGTTCGAGGCTAATGGGCTTTTCGGGTTCTGAGGCGACATATTCGAGAATGATGCGAAGAAGCTCGTCGGCAAGATCAAGGATACCCATTTTATGTGGGACTATTCATGACGGCAGTGGGAGGATAGGATTGCTATGGCGGGGGGTTGCTCGGGCGGGCAGGAGCGCAGGGCACGAGGGATATAGTGGTAGTGTGGGAGCAGGAGGAGCAGGAGCGAGAGCAGCGAGAGCGGGAAAAAGAGAGACACAGAGACAGAGACAGACAGAGACAGAGCAAAGGCTCGGGCCGGATCGGGACAGGAGATGGACGGCCGACGCGAGGCGGATGGAGGGCTGTCGCGGGCCAGGCTTGCCAACTGACAGCGTGGTGTTATCCGGCGGCGATGTTCTGTGAGACGAGACAAGCGAGGCGAGGAGCAGCCAGAGGGCAGAGGGGCAGGGCCGGGGATGGGAATGCATGACCTTCTTCGCTAGTAGTCAGCTAAGCGTCGCTGGAGTTGAGGACGACGAGTGGACACGCACCGCGGCCACAGCGGCCACTCCCCTGCCTGCCCTCTGCAAAAGCCCCCAATGGCACGGGGCGCCTTAGCCTGCAAACCGCCTAGCGCTCACATGACCTGACCTCGACGCGGCCGCCCGCCATAAGCACCCGTCGAGTGACGGGACCGTGGCTCCTCCCGCCTCGACTCTCGCGGATTCGTTGTCTGCCCACCGCCAGGCCTGCACCTCCTGCACTACCACTGCCACCGCTGCCCGACAAAGGTGGGGCCCCTCTCCCCTCTAAACTCTACCTACCCATCCGACACCCCGACACCCATGGATGCGATGCGTTGCCAGCACAGCATGCGTCTCGAGCGCTTGTGACGCTAATCACCCGACCCGCAGAGCGTCATCACCACGATACCACGGCCGTGCCCTTGGAATCGCCCAGCCCACGCATCGCAAACCACGGCACACGCCGCCCGCAAGCCCTGGCTGGCTGGCTGGCTGACTGACTGACTGACTTGTCACGGACTGCCTCTCTCGATTGCATATATCATTCCTGCCCTCGTCTCCCATGTCCGATGCCAATGCCAATGCTAATGCTAGCTACCATGATGTATCAAACTTCCCCCCCCCGGCACCGCCTGCAGTGGCCTCGCCCGCCTCGCCCGCCCGTCTCAATGGGTACAAGACGACGCCCGCGTGCCTCTGCTCGTCTGACAGCAAACGTGTTGCTCGTATCCAAGCCCTATATGTGCCCCCCTCCACAACGTCATTTGCTTTTTGTGCCGTCGTGTCGCCTCATCCCATCGCACCCAGCCCTAGTGTGCCGTTACACAAGCACTCAATCCAGACGTCGACTTGTCTTTTTTTCCACCCTGTCCACCCGTCCACCCGTCCATCGACTTACATACCGCCACATACCGCCTCAACTCGCCCTGTCTTTATCCGTCATTTCCGCCTGATTGTCTTCGCCTCATCTTCACCTCAACCCCCTGTGCTCTAGACCCGACTGCGCTCGCTGCATTTGCGCCGGATCTCCGTACTGCTCAGCTTGCTCTCGAAAGATTCGTCCACGTTGTCTTCTTCGCTGGCATCGAGAACCGCAACCTCAAACACCTCGAGCGCCTCCCAGCCCTGCTCCTTGCGCTTTTCGTTGACTGCCGCACCCCCGCTCCTCGTTTCCAGCGACAGCACCAGGGCGGTAATGTCCTTGTCCGTGATGGTCGGGCCAAAAGGATCCCATATCTCGACATGTTTGATGGTGAGCCCAAAGGGATAGCTGACGTGCACGGCATGGCCATTTGGCCCAGGCTCATTCAGTTCCTCGACACGAATCCGTTCGTCATCCGGAGATCCAAAGTAGACAAGGTGTGAGAGAAAGTCGTGTACCGATTCCTGGCGTTGCTTCCAGCTCTCCAGCTGGTCTGCATACTTTTTCTTCTGTAGCAGGGCATCGCCGGTGATTCCAACGGTAAGCACGCTGGGTTTTGACTCTGAAGTAGACGACTGCCGTCTCCCCAGCATGAATGCGAACATGGTTAGCAGCAGCTTGTGGCCAATGTGGAGATGATCAAAAGTTCCTCCAACAGCTACCGAGATGTGGTTCGTAGCTGCACTGTCCTGTTGGGAAGATGACTCTGGTGCCGAAGCGTCTACACTCACTAGTCCGCCTCGGACTTTGTTCACTGCGTATTGAGACTTGGCCAGAGATGTAAAGGCCTTCAGCACTTGCTCGCCCTGTTCGCTCTCGACTGAATAGACGACGTGCCATGGCCGAGGGCTGCGAGCTAGTGTGTGCATGTCGACGGCTGGCCCTTGGAGTTCCTGCTCTGGAGTAGCATCCGGCAGGGGCCCGGTCAGGTGACCGTCTCTTGGGTATGCCACCAGCACAATGCGGGCGTCGATGCCTTCCTCATCTTCTGTATCGATAGCATGCCTGCTTGTCGTTATGCAAACGAGTTTGTAGAGGTCAGCGACTAGCTGCTGCGTGATGGCGTAATACGGTCCCCGCGGCGCATCAAGATGTCCGTACAGATGCGGGCATGGCAAAGCAATTTCCAGGAGAGTCTGCCCCTGTGATTTAGACTGTGATGCTGCCAACTCTTTCAAAACGGTGCATATTGGGGCGTTGTATGCAGCCTTGAGTGCTGCATACGATGACGGAGCTGGTGCAGGCGGCAGCAACAACAGGGCACGGTGGACTGACTTGCGTGAGGGCGGCATGGTTTCAAAATGACGAGCAATCACTATGCGAACCAGAGGTGTGGTCGGAACAGAGACAGAGTTGAATGCAATACGTCTTGCGAGCAGAGGGAGCATCAATCGCGGGGGCTCTTATGCAATGTCCGTCCTCTTGCCCGCCCTGGACGTGAATGGGAGGGTTGGTTGGAGGGGTGGTGGGGAACATTTGCCGAGACAGAGCCGCCCAGGGACTCTACATACGCCAACCGCACATGTCGCTTTCCCAGACGACTCCACGCCGCAACCGTTGCACGTCACTTTGTTTTTCTTTTCCCTCTTGGTGAGCCAGCGCGGTAGGAATTGCAGGCGCCATGCCCTTCGGACACCACCACCAGAATGCGCCCCTCGACCCAGCGCAGGGCATCTATGCCGCCGCTTCGGCGCTTGGGAGTATGTAGGCCTCCGGGGCACTCTACCTGAACACCAGCTGATAACCATCTCCCCCATCCGCAGGCATAGGAGCGCCTGGAGGCAATCTGCGCGCGGCAACCCAGGGCACCACACGGGCGGGCACCGATGCCTTTCTGCCAGGAAGCAGTGGCAATGCCCAAGCACCGGGCGAAGCGTACATGGCATCCACGGCACCGCCAGCTGCAAACTCGAGCTTCGATACGCCGCGACACAAAGTGCCCAGCATGGGAGGGCGCGCCCCCGAAGAGCACCATGTATCGGCAGCAGTAGGCCAGCATGCCTCAGTGCCCCCTCCAGCGACGTCGGGTCAGCAAATGTACAACCCGCCCGACACCTATCGGTCGGCGCCCAACATCAACCTTGACCATGGCACCCCGCAAAACAGCCAGTATGCTTCTCCCGCTGTGCCCGGCAGTCTTCAGCCTGCAAGCGGTGCGGCGTCGCAGCAACAGCAACAGCAGCAGCCACCGCAGCCACCGCAGCCACAACCGTCCCAGCAGCCGCAACAGCAACAACAGCGACCCGGCCCTACCACTTCTTACACTGCCCCCGTTGGGCCTCCCCAGACGCAGATAGCCACGAACGCTCAGCAGTACACGCTACCCACGCGCTCAAACACAATTAGCCAGTCCCAGCACTCCCCCCACTCGTCGCACTCGTACTCGCGCTCCAGCCCAGCCGGCCTGGGCCCTGACCAGAAATACATTCCTTTTTCCAATACCCCCGAGCAGCAGCAGCCCAAGTACGCCGCAGGCACGCCCGCGCAAAAGTACTATCCCACGACCCCTTCGGGCGCCGCATCCCAATCTCCCCTTGGCCTCGCGGATATTAGACCACGCGCAAACTCAAACATGGAGCCTGAGAGTGCGGGCCACGGCAACCCAACCCTCGGCGACATGAACAAGGTGCCTTCCAACAGCAACTACCTCGCCCCCTGGAGCATATACGCCTTCGATTGGTGCAAGTGGAATGTATCGGGGAGCAACAGCGCCGGCAAGATGGCCGTGGGCAGTTACCTAGAAGACAACCACAACTTTGTAAGCAGTCATTTGGGAACGATGAGACCTCAACTAATGCGCTGTTTAGATTCGCATCCTCGACACGCAGATTGCGCCCCAAGACGTCTCCGCCCCTGGCGCAACCCCCTTTGGCCTTGAATACAACGCCATTGCCGAAGCCACATGTTCTTTCCCAGTCACACGCATGCTGTGGGAGCCTCCCTCGTCACAGAAACAGTCGACAGACCTCCTCGCAACGTCTGGCGACCACCTGCGCCTGTGGTCGCTACCTCAAGCCTCTGGAAACACAACGAGCAACACCATCACACGCTCATCATCCGTGAATACACGAGAACCTCAGCTTCCTAAGCTTACACCACTTGCGCTTCTCTCCAATTCCAAGACACCAGAGCATACCGCCCCGCTCACGTCCCTTGACTGGAACACTATGTCGCCAAAGCTCATCATCACCTCCAGCATAGACACAACTTGCACAATTTGGGACATTCCTTCTCTTACAGCAAAGACACAATTGATTGCTCACGATAAGGAAGTCTTTGATGTTCGCTTCTGCGCAGGCAGTGTCGACGTCTTTGTGAGCTGCGGTGCCGATGGAAGTGTACGCATGTTTGATCTGCGCAGCCTCGAACACAGCACAATCATCTACGAGCCTTCTGATAAGGGTGCTGATAGAGACAAGAGTGAGTACATGCTGTTTTCCTATGTATACGAGTAACTAACTTCAAACAGGCTCGCCAACTGGCCGCATGTCTCCGACCAAAGCACAGCAGACCATGTCGTATGCTCCACCGCTGCTCCGACTCGCCGCTTCTCCACACGACTCACACCTCCTTGCTACTTTCGCCGCCGACTCCAATCTCATCCGTATCCTCGATGTTAGACAACCCGGCCAAGCTCTGCTCGAGCTTCGCGGTCACTCTGCAGCTGTCAACAGTATAGAATGGAACCCTTCTCGGAGAGGAATGCTCGCGTCTGGCGCCGACGATTCGCTCGTCTTGATATGGGATCTGCTACATGCAAACAATGGTGCTACAATCAGTGGTGAACACGCCTCAACACAGCCCCCACCTCCACCTGCAAACTCACATCCCGCAAATGGCGCTGCAAACCAGCAGAATGCACCAGTCGGCCAAAAGGGTCCGTACGCTAGCTGGCGATGCGACTATGAAGTCGGCAACCTTAGCTGGGCTCCTCAGAGCGCACTGACTGGACAAGGCGGCGAATGGGTCGGTGTTGCTGGCGGACGTGGTATCTGGGGTGTCAAGTTATGATGAGTGTTTCAAATCGGGAATCCATGAGGGAGAAAAAAACCCCAGTGATGAAGGAAGGAAGGCCAATCATGTGACATATGAGCAAGGAGAGACGTTACGAAACGCCGTCTTGTAAATGACACTGCTGGTATGGAACAGCCAGACGAAGAAAGAAGAAAAACAAGTGCATAAACTGTTCATGTCTGGTCTGGCCTTTTTTGTTCTCCCAATGAGCAATCGTGTTTCTTCGGCGTTGGATGGTAGCGTTTATGCTTGCATGTGTATTTTACGTTTGATCGAGATACCTGAAAGTCTTATTCTCTTGAACTTTATACATCTCCTGGGGAAAATAAACTGGTGCTTGAATGGTGACGTGTTGCAATCATGATGAGGAATATCAAATTTGAACCGATATACAGGTTGCACACATTCGAAAAAAATCACTTCATTGCATATAAGAAACCCCCGCGAAACCTAACTCCGTCCCCCTAATCCCTCCATACTCCAAAATCCTTTCACTTCATCGAATAAAAACCTCAACAACAACCTCATTGCTCCACCCGGCCTTCGAATCCGTCTCCTTCCACGCCCTCACCGTATCAATCTCAAGGACATTCTCGCACCCTTTGCTTACACTGACACAATGCAGCGGGATAGGCCTGCCAAACAGGACGGCGAAGAAGTCATTTTCGATTGATCGACTGGGGAGATCTGAGATGTACAATCCTTTTTTTTAAAAAAAATTCACATTAGCACTCCACTTTTATCAAAAAAAAAGGAAGATTAGGTAGATAAGGGAACTTACCAAACGTGCCCAAAACCTTCAAACTAGTCCAAACCCTGAGCCGTCCCGAACTCTTCTCGACGTAAGCGTCTGAATTGATAATCGCCGCCGCCCCCGTCATTTTACCCAGGACACCCAAATTCGCTACATCGATATTTGTAGGGCCGCTCGCACTCAGGCCTTCGCCACGCTCCAGCGTAAACGACTGTAGCGGGAAGGCCGATAGAATCTCCCAGCCACGCACCGCAACATCGAGATGCACAAACGCTGCGTTGGTAGCTACGCTGGTGGGTTTGCTGACCTGGCCGTCTGTATGCGAGCGGATGATGTAAGTTCCTTTTTCTGCGCCGGGGAAAGCGTCAAGGGCGATGATTTCGGAGAGGGGTTTGGGGGTGCAGTTGAAGACGCCAAGGATGGGGACGCCGGTGTGTGCCCGTCCGACGTAGGTGCTGACTTTGAGGAGGACAGCGTCGTCGTAGGCGTTGTATGCGGAGGTACTTTTGCCGACGGTGTGGGGGCGGAGGATGACGGTGTCGCCGCGGGGGGTATTTCCCGTCATTTGATTGATGAGGTTGATATCGTGGTGGCCTGGTACATCAGTTATGTAGATGGGACCGCCGGAGACGCAGCGGCCTGCGGCGTGGAAAGCGGCGTAGTCGTGGCTTGTTTGGAACATGTCCCAGTCTGGGAGGATATTGAGGTACTGTGTCAGGAGCGAATTGTGGGCGTTGCAGAAGATATGCCAGGGGTGGCTGGCGGGGACTTCGGGGAAGAAGTCATCCGAGTTGCGGAGGAGCATGCGGGGTTTGTTGGAGGGGAGTTGCGAGTGGAAGATCAAGGGGGGTGCTTGTGACATGCAGGATATGGCACGGGCGGAGAAGTAGCGGAGTTGGGCGATGGACCAGGCGTCTTGAAAGGATTTGACGAGTTTGCGCCGGTCGTCTGCGTCGTGGAGTTCGTCAAGGAAGAATTGGGCATCTGTCTTTACGGAGTCGACGCCGCAGGAAGATAGGAATGCGTAAAAGTCTTTGTAGAAGCGGTCGACGTCTTCTTCGGCAACTACTATGATTTCACCGCCTGAGACTCCGTCTTTGAGTTTGACGGTTGTCGTTTTGTACTCTTTTGCAATACGTCCTTCGGGAGCTACACCACCCCAGTAGCCGAACATGGCATGCCAGACTGCGACGTGCTTGATGTGCTTGTACTTGTCTCGGATATGGCCTACTGTAGCCTTGAGACCGCGCGGGAAGCCATTCTTGTTGGCTTCAAACTCCATCCATGCATTGTCAAACTGATCTCCACCTTCTGTATTCAGTGACTGCCAGTTATCATCGATGATGAGGTTGCTGATATTGATCTCGTTCTTTTGCAGAGATTCCAAGGCATCGAAGATTTTATCCTCTGTGAGTTTCTGGCCCAATCCATTCCAGGTACAGTATGACAATCCGTCGTACCAGTTTTCCAGCCATTGAGGTTTGAAGTCGTCGACCAGAGCCTTGGTCTCCTCATCGACCTGCCCAGTAGATTCTTCGTAGGCCATTACAAGCCTGCGTGCATAGTACATTGAGGCAGCAATTGCATCTTCTACACTCTTTCCAACCGTAGCAACAAGGCGAACTGTTCCGTCCTTGTCGGCATCGTTTGCGGAATTCATTACGATATTTCCAGCTCCATCGTGATTGAGAGTAGTGAGAACATCCCCGACTCCACTGATTGCTAGAATCACCAAGTGTGACCCGTCATGTCGCTCAAAGGCAGCCAAAATAGCCTCTTTGTCAGGTTGGAAGCGATCCTTGCCTTGTCTAGGTGCAATCCACGGAGCCCATAGGCGAATTGACGCAAACCACCGGGAGAGGTTAGTAGGCTTGCCCAGTTTTTCGCGTGATTGACCGGGTGTTTTGCCAGAGGCTGCCCCGATTGGGTAGGAGATATCCCATAACTGAGTATTAGGCGTATCACTTTGCTCCTTCGAGACTGTGAGAAATGGCGGTAGATTTTCAAGATACCATGTCAAGTTGTCGTCCAGGGGTTCTGGTGATTGATAGATGAGATGGCCATCGGAAGTTGAGAAGTGCTCGTTTGCCCATTTCCATGGCTCGTCCTGCAATTGTCAATTGTGTCTTTGAAGAAATGGTGAAGTTCATTCTTATTTTTGAAGCGCACAAAGCATTGATGTTGAAGTGACGAAGTTTATGAACTAATTTTTGAGAACACACCTTTCCTGATCTGAAGGTAACAGTGTATGACACTGAAGAACCGTGCTTCGGGCGGCCCGTGAGTTCAAATGTAAAGCACTGACGTTTTAAATCGGTTCGGTGGGGGCTGACCGCCGTCTTGAGACCATCAGCTTTGTTAATGCATATATGGCAGGACAGCCGCTCATACAACAGTTGGTTCGAGGTTGGGCTCAAAGTTAGAGCTGGTCCATTGGTCGGAGGCATGGAAATTATGCCATAAAGCGACTTCCCAGCTCTTTTCTGAGGCAACAGAGCTCTCAATGACTACTGTGAACTTGACCTGAAAGGACGTTAGAACCATGTCCAGCACCCAGAGCAGCTTGAACTCACAGAGTCTCTACCTGAAGCAATGGTCGTTGTCTGGCCCAACGGCGGATGGCAGGTAAGTGAGGCATACATGGTGGCAAAACAAGGGGTTTCGTTACACTGGACAAGGAAAGCTCAAGGTGAGGTGTAAGAGTAAGCTGTGCTTAGGGTACTTGGGATTGACAGAACAACAAGACACGATCAGGCAAAACAACTAGAGATGGAGGCAAGGAGGGTAAATTGATGTTTGACTGAGGTTGCAGCTAGGAGATCAACGGTGTACATGTAGGCACTAACTGTAGTAGCATCATGCGCAAGGGCAGTGCATGTGACGTGTGCGGATGTGGATGAATGCGGATGCGGAGACGTCGGGGAAGCTGCAGGGAGCTGTGAGCTTCGGCCAATCGGCGTCGAGCTCGCTCCCGCTTGGCAGGCCGGAACATTTTTGACCTGGGGCCAGATGCGATGCGGTGCAATTGGCAGCCATGTCAACCTGGAGACAACTGTCCAGACCACGGTTCCTCGTGTGTCGACAATGCATACGGCAGCAGTCTACTTTGGCGCGCGGTGAGCGACCAGCAAAGAGGTGGGCTGACGAGGAATCAGATCCAGCAACCAGACAGGCACAATGGGAAGAGCAAACGGGCAGAGTGCGAGCAGGGATACAGCAGAGCATGCTGAGCGTGCTTGAAGAGCGAGGATTTGTCAAGGATGTTGCTGGGTGAGCATGGAAAGGAGAAGGCAGCCATGGTAGGACTATACTGAGAATTTACAGCGGACGCAAGGAACTCAATTGGCTGCTCACTGAGAAGCGCATTGGTGTATATGTTGGCGTAGACCCAACAGCACCCTCTCTGCATGTCGGCCATCTTCTCCCCCTGATGGCACTGTACTGGATGTACCTGCATGGCTACTACACCGTGAGCTTGGTGAGCTCCCCACGATCCGTCACGTATAATGGCTGTTAATCATGGTTAGTTGGGCGGAGGCACTGTACAGATTGGAGATCCTTCTGGCAGAACGACAGCACGCTCGCGCCAGGCGGAGAATGTGCAATCCATGAATGTGGAGAGCATACAGCGACAACTTGAGAAGCTATGGACCAATGTCAAGTGCTTGGGTATCAAGCACCAGTTCCCGCAGATGACGAGCCGGAAGCAAGATATTCTCAACAACCGCAGGTGGCTCGAGAAACTCAGCGCAGTGGAGTTGATGAGGGACTTGGGCTCGGGCATGCGTCTGGGCGCTATGCTCAGTCGCGATTCGTAAGTCATACTCGATTGTCGTACAGGCTCGCTTTCTCACACATGCACCAGAGTCAAGCTTCGAATGGAAAGCGGCGAAGGCATGGCTATATCCGAGTTCAGCTACCCCCTCTTCCAAGCCTACGACTGGTGGAGCATGTATAAGAACCAGGGTGTTCAACTTCAAATTGGTGGCTCGGATCAATATGGCAACATTATTGCGGGCATGAATGCTGTTAGTCATATGCGTAAGATATATGGCATGGATGACGGAGCGGCAGAAGAGGACCCACGCGTAGCAACGTATGGACTTACCACGCCGTTACTTACAACCGCTTCTGGCGAGAAGTTTGGCAAGAGTGCTGGCAATGCTGTCTGGCTGGACGGTCAGATGCTGAACTCATTTGACCTCTACCAGGTACTTACCTCTGTTACTTTGACACCAACTGGATTCCTTGACTAACTCGCATCACAGTACTTTATGCGCACCGCCGATGCGGATGTAGAGCGCTACCTCAAACTCTTCACCTTCCTCCCCCTCGACTCCATCAAGCTGCTCATGTCCCAGCAATCCCAAGACCCCTCCAAGCGCCTAGCCCAGCACATCCTCGCCCGTGAAATCGTCGAGCTAGCCCACGGCGCCGCCGCAGCAAAGAAAGCCGAAGCAGCCCACAAAGACGCCTTCAGCCAAGGCACAAACACCTTTTCCCTCCTCTCCCTCCGAACCGCCATTTCCAACAGCAAGGATACCGATGCCTCATCATTGTCCCCATCGCCGACCGCCGAACCCCCACTCAGCGCAAAAGAACAAGAGCTCCTAGCCTACAAGCGCGCCTATGCTTCCACCAGCTCGCCCGCCCAGTCACCCACCGGCGCAACACCTCCGCCCCCCTCGGACAATAAAATCATCACCCTACCCCTGTCCCTGCTCGCCCCAGGATCCTTCCCTCACATCCTCCACGCCGCCGGCCTCGCCACCTCGCGCTCAGAAGCCAGTCGGCTCATTGCCAAAAAAGGCGCCTACGTCATCGTCCCCAACTCGGGTTCCCTGGATAACCCCACCGCCCTCAGATGGGCCACTATCGAACCCGGTAAAGAGGTTGACCCGAATCATTACTTGGTCGACTGGGAGGCACTCGTGCTCAGGGCGGGCAAGGCCAAGATTCAGATTTGTAGGGTTGTGCGTGATGAGGAGTTGAGTCCGTCGGTGGGGGAGCAAAAGGCATGAATGTGTTTAAATTTTGAACTATATACTTGACGCCATCTTCGTGTTTTGTTTTACGGGAAACGCATCCAAGGAATGAAGTGAGGTGAATAAGGGTAGAAGAACAATGCACCAATTCTCCCCTCTGTGCCTTTTTCTGATCTTGTTGGATTGGAATTTGATTTGCCACTCTCACTCCGCGTTTCGCCCAGTAAATTAATGCCAAGGTACCTTTGTTTATTTGAATAATGTATCGTTGGTATTGTGTTATAGCAAGGATGATAATGATTACACAAGTTACCAATTACCTCTCTTTCACGACGTTTACCTATCCCAGCATCTGTGTACACCCCACCCCCCTCTCCCCCCAAGGTCGCATCTTTGAGATGGGGATGCCATCCGCTTGTCAGACGGAGGGTTGCGGATGTAGCTGTCGAGAGCGTATTCCGCGGCTTGAATGGGGAGAGTGACTTGGGTGCTGGAATCGTGTTCCGATGCCGATTTTACAGGGGGAGACCTGGACGCCGTTGCCGCTACTGCCACGTTGTGGGTGGCGAGAAGGAGTGTTATTGGGAGGAGTGGCGTTTTCCTTGGAGGTCGCGTAGGGGGATTTGGTGGGAGATGCAGCAGTGGTGTGTAAGTTGCGGGAAGAATGGTAGCGCGAGGGACCGCGCTCGATGCAGACGTTGGGGCTTAGAGGGCTGAGCTGGAGGTCGGGATCAGGGGATGAGGCATAGTGGTTAGTAGCACGAGGATACGAGCGGATTGGTGTTGCGGGGCGGATGGTAGACTCTGTGTGAGTATGGAATACATCGCGTATGGTGACGGTGTCTGCTAAAGGTGCTTCTAGCGTTTCTTGACCGCTTCTCGAAGCCGTTTCACTGAAATTCGAGGACGAGCGCTGACAGAATTGCGGCCTGGGATACGTATTTGGTTGGAGAAGCTTGGCATAAGGTTCATGGCCGTTTGGCGTTGAAACACCAGTGAGCCACTTGTCGATGCGGTCATCAAGTACAGAGGCGCGGATAGACTTTGGGTTGGGTTTACTACGCGAGCCTGGAATCAGGTAGCCGGAATCGTCGGACCAGGACTCAGAACTCTGTTGCGACGTTTTTGCGAAACCTGGCGGAGGGCGTGGTAATAACGTCGTCGATATGCATAGAGACTCTAGTCGGCGAACGGGGGAGGTGGCTTGCTGCGAATGGCAGTGCACGTGGCCACGACGAGCTAGCGGCGACGATGCTTTTGCTGAAATATTTGGCAACTGCGGATATGGCAAATGTGCCGGCTGCAATGTTTGCTGTTCGTGGCTAGCATCTTCAAAAAGCTGCCTCATACGTGCGGCGTGGCCAGCACGCGCGGGAGACTGAAGCAGTCGTGAGCCGTGGTGGGAGCGACGAATGCGGACATTGGCTAACCCCAAGGGCGAGACGGGCCTAGGGCGTGACTCTGCTGGCTTGAGAGGTGGTGTATTGGAAAGGGCATTTGGGTAATTTGCGGAGTCGTGGTGCGAGCACGGATGTGCATATGCGCGATTCGGTGAAGCAGCAGCTGCATCGAGAGAGGATTCCGCGCTATCGTTTCGCAAGGGCCGAGTTCTGAAGCGGTCGCCGGGTGTTACAGGTGTGCTGATGTTATCAATGTCGGTGTCGGTGAGACCGACTACGTCTGCTACTACAATTGCCTGTGGTAAAGTTAAAGAGGCTGGCAGAGCATGTGAGGCTGGTGGGTAGAGGTTCTATGACGAACTCGGGACGATGAGGCCATGGTGGATGATGGACTAGTAGTCAGTAGCAGCGCTCGTGGGATTTGTTTTTTTCCTGTCAACGGCAAACGTCTCGTGGGGGTTCGGTTACATGAGAGATGACTCGGGCTCGACATGAGCCGTGGGACGCGGCATGATGGGTGATCAAGGGCGCTGCATGGTGCCACCGCCCGTCGTGCCTGCTTACAGGACACAGTAGCCAGGCCGGTGGTTGTTGTTGCTAATATTGTTGTTGCAACTACTGCTACCGGTACTGTGGGACAGGCGCGTGCATGGCATTCTTCACAATGCGGCACCCGCGAGCGGTGGGCCGTGATGAATTGATCGCCGTGACGCTGCTGGGGGTTGATGGTGATAGTGATGGAGAACGTGGTACTAGGGCACACGGTGCAAGTACTTAGCCACGGCAGAGACGGGCGTGGCTGTTTGTTTTGAGCGACGCCGGAATCAATAGCGTGACCATTTCTTTTGTCTTGTCTTGGTGTTTGCTTTGCGTTACCGCGTACTGGAGTAAGTAATGGTAGATGGGGACAATTTCTTTGCCGTGTCACGTGCACCCGCCTGCATGTCACTAAGGCGAGCCAGAACGGGCGGGGACTCTAAGCACGGTGCATTCGATACTTTACGTGCCATATGCCATGTAGTATGCCGTGGACCTCGCATTGATTGCAGCCTGCAGACAATATGACAACATGCTCAGTCTTTCTCTTGGCTGCTCCCTCGATACACTGGCTCCTTGAATTGTCCGGCCTGTCAATCAACGTGTGCGCCGAGCACGCCACCGCTTACTAGCGACCTAGTATCAACGCAGCGTTCACACGATCGGAGGGCTTGCAGTAAGGCTTGGTGACACCTGCAGTGGGCGCATCGGCTGGCACCAAAACAGCGCCTTCCGAGGCGACAGAGCCTAAAAGGGCCGTCTTGGCTGAAGACGATTGTCGAGGCCGATTCTTGGGCTTGGTTGGCTGGAGGGTTAGACAATGCTACTAGTGGACGCGCCATTGCGGCAGTTGTCTATACTATACGCGTATACACTACGCTGCAGGTACAGGGTCCCCAACCTCCATCACCACACCACCACCACTACCGCCACCATCATAACAACAACAACAACAAGAAGAAGAAGAAGACACAACAACAAAGGGCCTCAAATACGGCCACGGCTCCGTGCCAGCCTCGTGGGGCCAGGACTACTACACAACTAAAAGCTTAGCGCCATCTCGCGGCTTACTTCCGCGGGCTGTCAGGGCCTGCTATCATGATCATTACTTTTATTATTATCTCTGGCCCATCGTCATCTCACCTTCAGTAGCCCATCCTCGGGGACCCTCGCCATCTCATTCCCTAGACGGGAGGGTGTGCGCTCGTGCCTGTCGCACCATGCTGCACCCCGTCGCCAGTGACGACTCCGAGACCCCTGAACCGACGGCGGATGCAGTGGCGTCTTCGCTTCCTGCACCACACTTCTTCTAGTCAGTGCGCCCAAACTCTGAACCATGCCAACCTTGCCTGTCCCACCCTCAGCCCTGGCTGCTTTCCCACCCCTTCCGCTGCCAAAGTCTCTCTACTCGCGAGACGCACCGTCGCTGCCTCGACTACCTCGCCTCGTCCCTTCTTATCCACCCTCACTTTTTTTTCCAATTCACCCCCCGGGCCTCCCCTCTCCGTCCATTTCCGCGAGCTCGACGCTCATTCAACTACCCGGCTCCCAGCCATCTCCCTGTGAACCACATTGACTTTACCTTTTTTTTCCTCTTTTTCTTTTTTTGCCCTTTCGTTCGTACCGTTGCGAAGCTTAGCCTCCGCATTTACCACCTGTACATACAACCTATATGCATGCTTCTTATATTAGCCTAACGGCCTGCCCACCACCATCACCACTTTTCCGCGCCCACCCCATGACCAGTTACCAAGAACATCATCTTCGCATCTCCATTGCCTAGACTGCGGACTGCGCTCGTCCGACCTCCTCTCACGGTACGTACATGGATTTTTCCCTCTTGAAACCCGGTTGGGATCAGCGCCACGCGCCTGCAACGGACAACGTCACATCGTCTTGTGCCTGCCTGCCTGGGCTTCCGCCGTGTTCGTATTAGGCTTGCGGAGCCTGGAATGCATGGACTCGCTGTTCATAGCAGCCCTGCTGTACTCTGCATTATCGTCGACTTTCTTGTTTGCGCCGCCCTGGCAGGCCCTGCTTGAGTCTCATTTCTCATGCGAGCACCCTCTTCTGACTTGCATTCCTCTAGGCCTGTCGATGTCTGATACAGGGCATTCTTCCATCGTGCCAATCCCAAAGTCTTTGTCTCACCAAGCCTTCTGGTAACCCGCTATCTGCTGGGCAAGGATTCGCGACTTTCCACTGTCTCGAATCGTTCGTTCTCGTTCCCAGCTGTCACCCTCATCAACCATCGTACCGGGCTATTTCGCAAACTTGCCTGGCCCAGTATCCAAACAGCAAGTATTCTAACTGACCACTGTGCATCTTACATGTTCGCACTGGCCATTGGCCGTCCTGTCGCAGTTGCATATGCCTCAGTGGTCGCGCACCCATACCTGTAATCAACTCCCTTCGCAACTCGACGGCCCGTCTCGACTACCGTCATCGTCTTTACTTACCTTTACTCATCTCCATCTCAACTTGGGAGCTTCGCGTTGCGCATCGTCGATCCACAGCAGGCCAGTGTCGATTGACACACCCGCCGTCAGCATTCCCACGTTCAATTCATGAGTTACGACCCGAGGTTGGGCGCCGGGGCATACCGTGCGACGGACCCAGAAAGAGATGGAGATTCGAAGCCCGGCTCAGTACGGGCAGCTCGGGAGAGAATGCAGGCCGAGCAAAAGAGGACACAGCTCCCAGACACTTCAAAGATCATCGGTCTCCCCCGCCGACCCAACCAACTCGTCTCGCAATATTCTCAGGGGAAGGCTGGGCCATCGCCGATAAGGGTTGTGCCAGACACCAGGAATGAGATCGAGTCGAGCTCTCCGTCACCACAATGGCCCCTCCCTAGCAGCAGAACCGAGAGGGTAGATCCCCCTCCTGACATTCCGCCACGTTCGCCCAAAAGGATCCGGGCACCACGACAAGACCCTCGCCCCCTGTCCGAAGACTTTCCAATTCAGCAATTATCACCAGACACGGCCTCTCCGATGTCCATAGGCTTCTCACAACGTAACGACAACCTCTCACCGGGCTCTTTTCAGTCTTCATCACGTCCAATCACCACGTCATCTATCGCGTCCGATTCCTCGA